GATGAGAAAACATAGGCACAGAGAAGTTACTGACCAGCCTGAACTCACACGACTTATAAGAGCTAGGATTTGAATGTATTTTCTCATTTGATCCTCAGCATTGCTATGATACTGATGGTGATTATTAGTTTGTTCATTTTGCAGTCTGGAAAATGGAGGGGGATTACGTGGCTCACGTGAAAACAATTTTTAAACAAACACATAGTGAGCATTCCTCCAAGTTTTATTTATCTAATTAATGGGGGAACCAGCAAGATGATAAAACTGGTTTAAAATTGGATAAAGGAAACTAAGACATATTTGTGTGGGGGTGTGTGTATTTAACAGTGAAAAAAGGAACGCCAAGATAAGATTGCTAAATTAGATACAAAACTAGTTAATGTCCTAGGGGCTGTGAAACCATAACCTTTGAGGTTATTTTTTCTGCTAGTTGGAAATATTTGCATTTCTCTTGTATCTTATTAAGTTTTTACAAGTTAACATCTGATTTTACAGAGTGGAACAAGGGCTGCCCTAATTAATTGTAAGCAGTACATCTTTCAAAGCCACATTCTTCCCATAAAGTCCAGAGAACTGTAGACAGGCTATTCTGGAGGCTGAGGCAGGGGAATTGCTTGATTCCTGGGAGGCGGAGGTTGCAGTGAGCCAAGATCACGCCACTGCACTCCAGCCTGATGACAGAGCAAGACTCCGTCTAAAAAAAAAAAAAAATTAAAATGCAGATTTGTTAATTCTTCCCTAGAGAAGGGAGGGGATTTTGTATTTTTTAACAGTCTTTCCGGGTGTTGTGAAGTTGCTGTGCTAAGTCGCATGGTGAGGACATTGTTACTAACACAGGCAGGATGAAGACCCTCCTGGTGAAATAAGAGACACCAGCAGATCAGGACCTCTCAAGGCATCAGGGTATAAATGCCTGGAGACTCTTGGAAGAATTAGATAGAGAAAGATCCAGGGAAAGGAGGTGTCAGCAAAAATTGCTGCTTATATGAGCAGAGTGTTACTCACCTATGCTGAGCTTGTCTGCAGATGGGTATTTTTCAAGGTAATTTGGAAATTGTTATCACTCCATCTTCACTGGTTTGCTTATCTGAAGCAGGAGGAAGACAGTTTGAGCTCCCAGAAGATGCTTTGCAAATTCATTTTAGTGTCACTGCTCCTTCCTCTCTAGAGGGTGTTTTAGTATAGAGAGGCATTTGAAATTTGTCTGACGATAAATAGAGCTTAAAGGAATTGTCCTGAGTTTGAAGCTTCCAAGGCTTGGTGCGATGGGCCCGAGCTGTTTTCAGGCTGCAGTGTACTTTCGGGGCCTGGCTGCTTGTACAGGTTCCAGTTCTTTCTTAGAGAGTGACCTAATGTTTTATGTCTAGTATTTGGGGGTAGCTTATTTTCCTAGGTGGGAGTCTGAAGACACAGATTTTGCTTAGGGACTTTGGGATCTAAATGACCTGGATTTTGCTCAGTTCTAGTGCTGGCTACTGTTATGTTGGTGCCGAGACGTGGCAGAGTGTCCTACTGATTTCTGCCTGTCTGTGGGCTCCTAAGCATGCAGCAGACAGAGCAGGAGGCAGCGGGGTACAACAGAAATCACTTTTCTATTAAAGCTGGAAGAAAGGAGTGGGCGGAATGGGAAATCTTGCACAGTCCTTTCTCTTCCTGGATGCACATCACTCACAAGTCGTTTCCTGAAAATCCAAATGCAATCCAGTGGTGAGAGACAGCTTCCTGCCAGTCTGCTGAGCCAGCCCCTTGTCAGGGAGGAGATGAGAACAAGATGTGGTCAGAGAATGGGGCAGCTGGGTGGAGCCGGGCTGCTCAGTGGCCATGTGCCCTCCTCTCTGTGGGACAGCAGCATCCTTTCGTCCTGAGAGCAGCACCCGGACACATGGGCATATATAGACCTGACCCGGGGGAGTTGCAGATTTGTTCAGACAGATGGCTGGACCCCAGCCCTAGAGTTTCTATCTGATTCGTGGGTCTGGGTGGAGCCTGACAATTTGCATTTTTAACTAGTTTCTAGATGATGCCGATACTGCTGCTTCAGAAAGGGTGACTAGGTAGAAGAGGAAAGCGGATTGTTTTAAGTAGATTCAGAGACCAGAATGAAGGCCTGTGGGTGCCAGGGACAGTGGAATAGTTTTTCATCTAGTGTAAAAATTTTAACTACTATATGTAGTCAGAAATGGAGTGGATAGTCTCAGGAGCTCCCTGTCCCCGGAGGTGTCCAGTGGCAAATGGCTATCTGGCAGATTGCTGCGCTAGAGAGAAGGTTCATTCGTTTGTTTGCGAGTTTATTCACTCATCCACTCATTCACAGAATGCACATGTACTCCTGCCTGCCAGGTGCTGGGGGCTGGGGAGAAGCCTTCAAAGACACCAAGCTCCCTGTTTTAAAGAGCTTACAGTGTAGTTGGGGTTTGATTGTGTAATTTCTAGGGTTCTTTTCAGTGCCGAGGCTCGAAGAGTCCTATAATGATGGGGTAATGTCCCTGGATGAATGGTTTTTTTTTTTCTCCCTTGCTAACACTCAGAAGAGGCTGAGAATGTTTTTACCAGGAGTGCATTTTCTGTGGGAAAATTCACATCTCCCCACTGGCACCATTAAACTCTGAACTCCTGACCAGCTGTACATGGCGCCATCCGTGAAAGCAGACCCAGAAAATGGACTGTAGGAATGAGCAAACTGCATTTTACCACTTCTCCTAAGTGATGTACTGGAGAGATCATGGCTGGGGAAAGTTAGAGAGAAGAAACTGTTGAATTCCATCTGTTTTCCTGGATTCTTCTGTCATAATTCCTGTTGAAAGCAATAATTGCTGTCACTTTTACCCAGCTCCGCTTTGTGCCAAGCATAGCATTAAGCCTGCTACATTTATTGTGTCATTTGATCCTCATGACAGCCCTATCAAATGAGCATATTGTTCTCATTTTTGCATAGGAGGAAACAAAGGTTCAGAAACGTGCATTTAGTTGTTCATGGCTATAGAGACAGTACATGTCAGAGCTGGAATCAAAACTTCAGTTTTCCAGTGTCCAGACCATGCTCTAAGCTCTCAGTACACTGAACTACTCATCCATCTGTTCATTCAGTAATTAGTTAAGAGGGTTTTTCACTGAACAAATGTTAAGCACTGACATGAACCAGTGAGCAAAACTGCTTGGCCACTCCCTTCATGAGGCTTACAGCTTTTCTCACTCAGACAAATGGTTGACTCCTCTCTCGACTCTTGGGCTGGTCAGATGCTAAGGAGAAAGAGAAAGGACTGGGAGACAGATTCTTGCAAGTTAGCCACTGACCCTAAGTCTCCATGTGAATGAGATTTCTCATCACCAAGCTGGGGTCTGTGCTTTGCTTCATTTTTACATTTTCCTGTTGGGCTTCTTTTCTTCTTGTCCAAGGCAAGATGTGGAAGGCCTTAATGTAGTACAGGAGACATTCTTGTGGCATTCGCCTTCTGATCATACACTGGGGATGGAAGGAGATCGGAGAGGCCCCGGAACTCAGAGCTGGAAGTGACTCTAGAGGGATTTTAGAGACCCTCTACGATGACCCTCTCTTGCTGGGAAATGTCACCTCTTTCAAAACCTGACTTATCCCTGAAGATTTCTTTGGCTGTCTGTGCTGGCCTAAGCCTACATTTTCTGCTTTTTAAAAGCTGTTTTAAATTAGATTTTTAGTTTTCAAAACACCTCTCTGATAATTAATTTAAAAGTCAACCAACTTCAGAAATATGCAACTTATATTGTGAACAATTTCTGCAACCCCTAAGATAATCACCACCACCAACGGGCACTTATTTCTCCAGTTGTTTTTGTTTTTTGTTTTGAGACGGAGTCTTACTCTGGCCGCCCAGGCTAGAGTCCAATGACATGATCTCAGCTCACTGCAACCTCCATCCCCAGGTTCAAGCCATTCTGCCTCAGCCTCTCGAGGAGCTGGCTGGGATTACGGGCACCCGCCACAACACCCAGCTAATGTTTGTATTTTCAGTAGAGACATGGTTTCACCATGTTGACCAGGCTGGTCTTGAACTCCTGATCTCAGGCAATCTGCCTGCCTCAGCCTCTCAAAGTGCTGGGATTATAGGCGTGAGCCACTGCACCCAGCCGACCTTGACTTTCTATAGATCAATCCTGCCTTTAATGTGACTGAACTATTAATAGTTGAAACATCCATTTGGCTCTTATATTATTCTTTTAACTTTTAGAGAAAATTCTAAGAACATTTCTTGGAGTTGCCTTGCCTTTGGTGGGGGATTCTTAACCTCTATTTCAAAGGGTCTGTTGCAAGAAAGAAACCAATGTCCAAGTTTAGAAAAGAAAAAAAGGAATTTATTGAAGGGGTAACATATAGAATTACCAGGTCTCAGGGAATCTGAACTGCTAGGTGTCAGAAACGGCAGGCAACAGCAGCTTAGGGAACCCTTGTAGCAGGAACAGAGGAACAGATGCATCGCTTCCATCTGTTCAGACCTGGCAGCATCACTCCACTGGCTTCAATTGAAACACGGGTCACCTCCTGGCCAGGGCCAAGTAGGACACCTTGATTGACAATCTCACCAAAATATGCATCAGAGAAGAGATATTCCCTTAAAGAAAAATTGGTCTGAAGAGACTAAAAACTGGTAGATCCAGTGCTGGAAAAATCAACTAAGGTACACAATAGGGCTCATAGGCCCTGGGAAATTTTGCCTGCGTTTGCACGTGTGTTTTCCAGGACCCAGACAAACATTAAATCATTGCTTTAGTTCTGTCAATTCTATCTAGTTGGAGTGACGTTCCCACAGTGATGATAAATTATATTTAATTTACATTAAATATAAAATTAATAACAAACTTCTTCTGGTTTTCCTTTTTGCCCCTTAGCCCCCTGTGGCTGCCCATTTCTTTTGCTTGGAGATGCTTGGGATAGTCCTGCCGGTGCAGTTAAAATCACTAGTTGTTGTTGTTAGGAGGTGGAATTCATCCACTTATGATATAATGTCTCTTTTTATTTTTTGCAGGCAACTTTTTGCTCCTTCCTACACAGAAACCCACTATACTTCAAGTGGCAACCCTCAAACCACCACGCTGAAGTCGGAGGTGAGTCCAGGTTCACAAGTGTCTATCCAGCAGCTGTCCTCTCCCGGCACCACTCCTGGGGACAGAGGAGATGCCTGGTGGAGTTGGTCCCTCCTCTGAAGGAAGCGTTTCCCCCAAGCTTAGAACAAGGGTGCAAACACGAGAAGCAAAACACGTATTTGATGTTTCATAGGCGCTCCTCCTCCTCCTTTGCTGACTAAAATGGCTAAAGAAATATAGAATATTTTGGGGTAATTACATCTGATTACAACTGTTACGAATTATTGTAAAACATACATGTTCTTTGCTTTGTGTTAATTACCCACATATTAACAAAAGTTGTAGTGAAAGGAATGACTTACTCATAATCCTGTCTTCTCATCCAATTAGACATTTGATTATTCCTTTTTAAATGGATGCGTAACATTTACAGAGTCGTAATCACTGCATACATTTTGTAGTCTGCTATTTCAATGTGATTTTTAAGTTATGAAGATTTTCTTAATTTCCTTCTCTCTTCATATTGGACATTTTTTTCCCTTAAAGTTGTTTTTGAGTAGGGATGTTTACACAACGTCCAAGATCTTTCATTTAGAAAATGGTCTTTCAGATCATTACATGCCAGTTTGCTTTACCACACTCCACTGGTAGACATTTTAGGTAGTGAATCACACATTTCATGGTGGCTAGCTCTTCTTACAGGGATGCCTATTGGAATTTGTTGGCTCAGAACATTGATTTTCAACCAGGAGAACCAGTGGTGTTCCCCTGACCCCAGGGGACACTTGGCAATGTTTGGAGGCAGTTTTGATTGATTGCCGTGACTGGCAGGGAAGATCTACTGGCAACTGTATTCTACAGTGCATAAGACAGACCCACCACCCCCCAAACAACAGAATTATCCAGCCCCAAATCTCCATAGTTCCCAAGTTGAGAAGCCCGGGATTCGAATGACCATTCTCAAAATCTGGGCTGGTGAGATGGGGTGAAGACGGGAAGATGCACGCTGGCAGGAGCAGCGGTGGCCTTTGCCTTTGGGGCAGGACATAATGGACTACTGAGGCACACAGACTGGGAGGTGTGGTCTGGAGAACAGCAGAAGTCCCTCTGCCCCAGGACGCCTCCAGCAGCTTCCCATGGAACCTGAGTATTCTACCGGGCCCTTTATTTAAAATATCCCTGCTGGAGTACAAGTGTCCAGCAAGATAACACTAGCCACTCAGTCGTTAACAGCTCAGATTAGTTCGCCAGATTACCCCAGATGTGGAAAGAGATACAGGACGGGCAAGTCTCATTCTGTCACCTAGGCTGGAGTGCAGTGGCTCGATCTCGGCTCACTGCAACCTCCGCCTCCCAGGTTCAACCGATTCTTCTACCTCAGCTTCCCCAGTAGCTGGGATTACAGGCACCTGCCACCATACCTGGGTAATTTTTCTGTTTTTAGTATAAATGGGGTTTCACCACATTGGCCAAGCTGGTCTCGAACTCTTGACCTAAGGTGATCTGCCCACCTCTGCTTCCCAAAGTGCTGGGATTACAGGTGTGAGCCACTGTGCCCGACCACAGTTTTTGATAGATCTGAGAGATCTGAAGCATAGTAACCGGGTAGCTCAGGGGCTGTGTTATATGGCTGGATGTGAAGACCAGTGCTGCCTTCTTCACCAAGACTTTCCTAGATGGGGAAAGAGTTGGTAGTGTGGCCAGTGCCTGCAGCAAAGCTGGGCTGTGTCTTCTCATTCCCAGGGAGGCTGTCCGGCTGTGACTTCATGTTCTTCAGTGCCCCTTGGTCAAAGCTTTTCCTCTCTTCACAAGACCTCTGTTCTCTGCCTCCAGGAGCAGGGTGGGATGGGAGAACAGGCATGTCTAGAAGGCCTTTAGCCATGACAGCCTCCTTCAAACACCCTCCTCTGAGTTTGGATCCTGTCACTTCTGTACCCACAGCTCAAGAATGGGTCTCAGTCCACAAATTTGCCATGAGCTCATGCCTTCTGCTATGAAAGCCCCCTCGGGGTGGCCTCATCAGGCTGAGAAGCTGAGGAATGCAATGACTTCATGACTGGTCCTTCCTTGTTCTTTGTGCTCTCAGCTTGTGCATTAGGCAGAGATGTTGTAAGGGCCTTTCAGAAACAGAGAATTGGAAGAGAACTCCCTCATCCCCAGAATCCCCTGCTTCCAGAAGGTCTGGTTGACTGAAGCACATCCTAGCTGAACCATGGGAGGACAACTCATTGTTTTCTTACATCCCCTGCTACTAGACTCTTTCAAAGCTCCCACCCAGGCCCATGGGGTTCTCAGTCAGACTTCTCATTTGGGAGCTGAGATCTCAATGAAAAATGGGAATGGAATAAACCACTCAGCTGCCCTTGACCCGAATGTTGAGGACTGCACTCTACCACCAAACTTGGCCTAGGGTAGCTGGAGCTCTGGGAACCTTTTCAAGACTCATCGGCCAGGCCTTTGGGCTACAGACCCATCTAGGTCAGGTGGCTGGGGGAATGGGTCTGTGAATATGTTCTAACAGAAAGCGTTACTGGGTTTGCAATCTGAAGCCAGGGTTATCATCTTGACTTTAAGTAGTTATAGGACCTTAAACAACCCCCCTGCCCTTGACCACACTAGTGTTGTTCCCGTATTTGTAAATTGGATGTGCTGATATCTGACTCGCAGGGCTGTGGAAGGGTACGATGAATCCCTGATTTTTAGAGGAATTCATAAACATCTCTTCCAGCCCCACATTTTACAGATGAGGCAGTTGAGAGGAGAAGAGGAAAAGTAATTTGCCCAAGTTCAAATAACCAGTAAGTGGCAAGGCGTAGGCTAGAACTTGTCTCCTTTGTTGCTAGAGAAGCTGGGGATAAGAACTCTGACAAACCAAGTTCCTCCTTTGCTACTGCTTGGAGAGGCAGAGGATGAAGCTTAGGGACAAGCCGCTGGGGTCGCAGCCTCCACTTTGCTGTGTCACCTTGTGAATGGCTCAGAACCTCTCTTTCAATTTCCTCCCTTTAAGACATGGCAATAATAATATCTACCTCATAAGACTGGTCAGAATCAAAGGAAAAAATCTGCCTAAGTTGTTCACCAAGCAATAAGAGCTGGGTAGATGTTAACTCTTTTATTTTAGACGTAGGGCCTGGCTGTGTCCCCCAGGCTGGAGTGCAGTGACGTGATCGTAGTTCACGGCAGCCTCAAACTCCTGGCTTTAAGTGATCCTCTTGCCTTGGCCTCCCAAAGTATTGGGATTATAGGCATAAGCCACCATGCCTGGTTAGATGTTAGCTCTTATTGTTTGTCTTTTCTTTTTTTCTTTTTTTCTTTTCTTTTTTCTTTTTTCTTTTTTTTTTTTGAGCCAGTCTCACTCTGTCGCCCACACTGGAGTGCAGTGACATGATCTCAACTCATCGCAACTTTCACCTCCCAGATTCAAGCGATCCTCCTGCCTCAGCCTCCTGAGTAGCTAGGATTACAGGCACCCACCAGCACCACCCACCACCACGCCCACCTAATTTTTGTATTTTTAGCAGAGATGGGGGTTTCATCATGTTGGCCAGGCAGGTCTCAAACTCCTGGCCTCAAGTGATTTGCCCGCCTCAGCCTCCCAAAATGCTGGGGTTACAGGTGTGAACCACCACACCTGACCTCTTATGTTATTAATAGTACATTGTAGGTATCATTGTCGCATGAGATAGTGTATGTGAGAGCTCTGTAAATTGTAAAGCATGTTACAGAAGTCAGGTGCTCAATTTTTAAGAGCACTATGGCTATGAACACTCTTAGCATCCATTCAAAGATAGGAAGAGGTACAGGGATTCTTCACAGCCATTTCTGGGTTTCTGGGTTTCAGTTCTTTCTCTCTCGTTGTTTTTTGTTTGTTTGTTTGTTTGTTTTTTAGACGCAGTCTCACTCTGTCACAGTGGTGTGATCTCAGCTCACTGCAACCTCTGCCTCCTGGGTTCCAGCAATTCTTCTGCTTCAGCCTCCCAACTAGCTGGGACTACAGGCGTGCACCATCACGCCCAGCTAATTTTTTGTATTTTTAGTAGAGGCAGGGTTTCACCATGTTGGTCAGGATGGTCTCAATCTCTTGACCTCGTGATCCATCTGCCTCGGCTTCCCAAAGTCCTGGGATTATAGGTGTGAGCCACCGCACCTGGCCTCTGTTCTTTCTATTAACCAGCGTTTTAAAACTGTAGCTGATAAACATTTCTGAACTCCTTGATTCTCTGTCATTGCAACTTCTCTGAGCTCCATTTAACCCACACAGGCCCAGCCCCTTTTCTTCCCATGAATAATCCTGTGCTACGGGGTTTGTGGCTTCCCTGTTGAGTTCTAAGGACCAGGTTCAGGACTTGAGTGTTCATAAGGGCCCTCCAAAATCCCAGATCCCAGGGACAGGTAGAGAAGCCATATGAGAGGCTGGCATTTGAAGGCAGTTGGAATCCTGCCCAGAAGGAGGGTTTTGCCTGCCACACCTTCTTTCATAATCACAGCACAGCGACTTTCCCGTGTGCTCCTCTCAAGGGTGGCATCTGACTTGTTTAAAGTCTAGAAGAGTTTGATGCAAAGATAGGGGTTGGCTCTGTCCCTCCTCCTGACTGCTTGAGCTTGAATGGGCAGAGGAGCCACATTGCTGGTGGATGGATCCCCTGCAGATGAAAGGGGCACCTGTGGTCTGGAGAACGAGGCCGCATTGAATGTCAGCTTGGCCTGTATCCTTTGATCTGGCTGCATGGCTGGCTGGATAGGATGGAGCGATGGCACAGCTAGGGCTGTGGATTCAGCCTCTTGGAGGGCTTCCAGGTCTCTTGAGGCCGTATTCTTTGTTAAAGGAGAATTGCATGATTATACAGTTGCCGATGTTTATTGCCTGCCGCTCTGGGCCAGGTACTCTACTAGCTCCTTTATATACAATATTCTCACCACTACTCTGGGAGGTAGAGGCTAAAGACACTGAAGGTCAGAGAGAGGTTGTACAACTGCTTATGCTTGGATTTGAATCTGGCCTGGCTATGCCAAAATGCTAGAATTTAATTATTTGTCTATACTCAGGCTGAGAGCTGGGAGGGAGGTGGAGCCAGAGAATACAGACACACGGGGTAGCTGAGGATCAGGTCACATCTCTGTCTGGTGGGGACAAAGAAGCAACGGCAAGCAGTGTGGTCCTGAGATGAGGGAAAAGGGAAAGCTTCCGTGGCTGCAGCCGTGTGGTTTACATCTGTCCCTCCTGAAATCTTTTCAGAAACCGCTCTCCCCTGAGGGTTTTACCTTCTCTTTGTTCTGACCAGCGCATCTCTCTAGACCTATTTGGGAGGAAGCCTCTAGGAATGTGTCTTTTGTTGCTACTCCTCAATTTGTTGGAGACGGTCCTGATTTCATGCCCGTCTGTCTGGTTTAGCACTTTAGCGTGCTCAACAGTGGGTATTTGCTTCCTAAGTTCTATGGTTACCTGACTTATAAAACACTCTGCCACCACCTGAAATGTTTGTTTCAAGCCCCTTCTTTTGGTTTCTAATTATGTCTGTTTGGATTTCTCATTAATGACTGCCTCTCACAAGACCATAAGCCCCATGAAGGCTGAAGCCGGGACTCCGTTTGCTCATTACAGTGTCTCCTGGGGCTAGCCCGGGCCTGGCATGGTGTAGTGCTCACAGCTCTTTGCAGTGCTGGAGAAATTCTGACAGCTGTGTGACACTGTGACCAGAGAGCAGCAGCAGGCCTCAGGGGCACAGGTGCCAAATCAAGTGTGATCCAGATTCGGTTGGAAGAGCTGCAAGAGCTGTGGAAGAGAAGGGAGTGTTGGCTACTGTAATGAAGCACCATCAACTTAAGGGTTTAAAACAATGGAATTTTACTTTCTCACAGTCCTGGAGGCTAGAAGTCCAAGCTCACAGTGTTGGCAGGGCATACTCCCTCCAGGCCTCTGGGGAGAATCCTTCTGCGCTCCTCTAGCTTCTGGCAGCTTCTGGCTATGCTTAGTGTCCTTGGCTTGCGGCTTCCTCACCCCAGTCTCTGCCTCCGTCTGTAAATGGCCTTGTTCTCTTACTGTGTGTGTCTCTGGATCCTTCCCTTTTCTTAGAAGGACACCAATCACTGGATTTAGGACCTTCTCTAATTCAGCATGACGTCATTTTGTTTTTGTTTTGTTTTTTCCTTTTCCTTGAGACAGAATCTCACTCTGTCGCCCAGGCTGGAGTGCAGTGGCGCCGTCTCAGCTCCCCGCAACCTTCACTTCTCAGGCTCAAGCGGTTCTCCTGTCTCAGCCTCCTGAGTAGCTGGGATTACAGGTGTGCACCACCATGCCCGGCTAATTTTTGTATTTTTAGTAGAGATGGGGTTTCACTGTATTGGCCAGGCTGATCTTGATCTCCTGACCTCAAGTGGTCCATCTACCTCAGCCTCCCAAAAAGCTGGGATTACAGGCGTGAGCCACCGCGCCTGGCTCATCATGACATTATCTTAATTTAATTACATCTACAAGAACCTATTTCCAAATAAAATCACATTCTGAGGTGGATGTGAATTTTAGAGGATTCTATTCAACTCACTGCAGGGGGTTGCAAAGATAATGTCACTGGGGAGGCAGGTTATTTCAGGAATCAGTGTTTTCTGTGGCCAACATCACACCATGGAAAGAGCTCTGCGCTAGGAAAATTCTGGATTTCCCAAGCAGCAGAGAAACCTTGGGCAAATCTCTTTGTTCCTTTGGGCCTCAGCTTTTCATCTGCTTCATGGAGATAAGGACATCTGCCCTGCCCCGTCTCCCAGGACTGTCATGGGAATCAAATGAAATGGTGGCTTTGAGAGCTGGTTGCAGGTTGTAAGGTGCTGTAAAGTTGGGTAGGTATAGGTATATAGCAAGCCATGCATCACCAATCACTGTCCTGAGACATTAATGTTGCCATGCTTATCGGTGTTCCTTGGGCTGACCACCTCCTTTCTCCTTGGTAGGATCACTGTTTTTACCACGGCACGGTGAGGGAGACAGAACTGTCCAGCGTCACGCTCAGCACCTGCCGGGGAATTAGGTAAGAGACCCTCAGGCCGCAGGTGACATGTGGCACTCTCCCAGGGATGGAAGTTTCAAGACAAGCAGACAAGGCAAGGACCTTGGGAAGGAGTCCATTGAGAATGTGTGCAAGCCACCCCAGAGAGGGGCTGAGCCTGGGAGGAAGAGGGACGAGGGAAAGCCTAGGTAATCCACAAATCCATTGGGATTTAACTTTCCTGGTGAACTTGATATTTAAAATATAGGTTTTGTTATTTAGATATGGTAAGGCCAAAAAATCAGGGGATGACTGCCATTGAAAAGATGGTTATACTTACAGAAAGAGGAGGGGGCCAGCTATGCCATGGGGGGCAGCACAGGAAGCACTGGGGTTGGTCAGGAGGCAGAGGGAGCCTGGAGAAATGTCAGCAGGAGCCCTCATTGTGGTTTCTGCAGGAAGGAATGGGTGAGGCAGAGTAAGCAGGTTTAGGATTGGTTAGTTCGTATAATTTCAGCAGACTCTGGGGTTTATGGGCTCTCTGTTCTGAGTTGTCCTCTACCTAGTTCTGGGGTGATTAGGGAAGGGAGATAGTGGCCAAAAGGGTGAGAGCCCCATAAAATAGATGGCTAGGGTACGGGCTCTGGGTTGGTTGGCTTCCGTTTGAAAGGCAAGGTAGCTGGGAAATTATTGATTATCTCTAGGAATCAGCTAACCCTGGAAAAGGCAGCCCCTCTACGGTCAGCCAGACCAGATGTCAAAGCAACAGAAGATAAAACAGAAGACACATAGTTAATACACTCCGGATGGATGAGTTTGAGCATTTGGTTCCACATCTGTTCAGTTCTTCTTTTAAAGAAGTACTTGGAGGTGGTGAAATAGGAAATAGATGGTTAATGAACAGAGAGTAGAAAGAGGAAGGAGAGGCAGGGATAATTTTTGAGACAGAAAATCAACTGCAAAGTTCCAACCAGAATGTACTTTTGAGAGTGACCCTTCCTTCTCTGAGTGAGACTACTTGGCTTTGAGCCAGGAGCAGTTTACCAGCTGGGTGATCTTGGGTCTCAATGGTCTCATTGTAAAATGCGGATGAAAAGAATATATGCCTGCGGTTGTGAGGATTCAGCTTGTGAACAGCTATGTTACCTAAGAACTTGCAGTGACACACTGTCAGCGTGCAGTGACCTCCTAGGCCTTTGCTTCTCCAGGTGCGGTCTGTGGATGGGCAGCATCAACTTTACCTGGGAGCTGGTTCAAAATGCAGCATCTCAGGTTCCACACAGACCTACTGGATTTCAATCTGCATTTTACCAAGATTCCCAAGTGATTTGTGTGCACATTACAGTCTGTACCTGAGACTGTGTGTTCTTTGAGAATATGGAGTATATCTCAAATGTCTGTTTCTCTCCTCCAGCCTGCATGTGGTAGGATCTATAAATGAATGTGAATTAATACGTATTATTACATAGACCCCTCTCAATATCCCCTCTTTTTTTTTTTTTTGAAGGATGATGGTCTGAGAAACCTGGTATCTCATTGCTTATACTAATTGCCTGGGTTTTGATTGACTGTACTATGTGGTGCCTCTGTGTAGTGATAAACAGTGAGCTACAGACACACACACAGTGTTTCCCAGACTACACAGGCTCAGTGAGAGACACTTCAGCCTAGTGTAAACTGGCTCTATGGAAAAAAAGGGAAAAGCCCTGATTCGTAGCATCTGCCAATACACTGGCAAAGATACTCCCACCATAATCAATTTCAAGCTACCAATACGATGTTATTAAAGGTAGAATTGGGAAGATATGCTTTTGATTGGCTCTCATGAGCTGATAGGAGGTGGCTCCACTGTGTGTTCTTCCTCTCTTGATTGATTGATTCATTCAATTATTGCATTTTTCATTCCACAAATTGAAATTGGGTGTCTTCCTAATGCCAATGCCCTACACAGGTGGAGGGAACACTAGCACTGTAATTTTGGAGCCTCAGTTTCCTTATCAATAAAATGAACATCAGTATTAGACATGGTAGAGATTGCTGCTGTAACTATAGTACTTTTTAACATAAAGGATTTTCCTCATCTTACATCAGTGAAACCATGCTGAGACTTATGCAGGCTCCTATACAGGTCGAAGGTTTCTCACACTGCAGGTCCCAATTGTCTGTTTATAAATTGAGCCATGACTTCGTTTGGATGCTGCACGGTGAGTTGGCTGGAGGAAATTAGGCAGGAAACGGGCTTTGGATGGGAAGCAATAACAGAGTGGCCCCAAATCCCCCCTGCTTAAATGACCCGTTGAGCCAAGCCAACTGGCCTCACAGTGGTATTTATAGGCCCAGCCACCGCCACCTGCAGTCTGCGAGTAAACAAAGTTTGTCCCAAGAAGGAGGAAAAAGAACATGCAGGTGTGACCTGCTTCTCTCTGCCTCTTGCTCTATCCCCTCAGGCCGGAGCAGTGAGAACTTGGCTTGGCCTCTTGTTAATCATTCCAGCAGCAGTGCTGACAGGGATGGGGGTACTTGGTGAGCCGTCTGTGTGTTTCTGTTTTGCACACTTCTGTCTGGTGAGGTGCACCTGCCTTACTTTCCCAGCCTTCTCACTACACACACCTTAAGAAGCCAAGGCTGTGGGTGGACTGATTTAAGAGCTGGAGACTCATGCCAGATGGTTCCATTCAGATCCTGGAGAAGGAGCAGCTGCAACAGCAGCAGCGTTCAAACCCATGTTACCTCACAAAACTCACAAAGCACTGCTGCGATGGAAAACCTCCACAGTGATGATTGTTCTTCTCTCCTGGAAACATGCTCCTGTGATTGGAGAAAATAGGTAGAATTTATATCAAGTGAGGTCTTCAGGGCTAATGATACAACGAGGAATTCAGCTGAGCTTCTAGATCGGGCATCCCCAAACTACAGCCCACGGGCCACATGCGGCCCCCTGAGGCCATTTATCCGGCCCCCTGCCACACTTCAGGAAGGGGCACCTCTTTCATTGGTGGTCAGTGAGAGGAGCACAGTATGTGGTGGCCCTCCAACGGTCTGAGGGACAGTGAACTGGCCCCCTGTGTAAAAAGTTTGGGGACGCCTGTTCTAGATGGTTGCTGGGCCCCCTCTTCTTTCCAAAGCAGTTCTTTAGTTTATTTTAGTTGAAGAAGTAATACATGATCTTAGTAAAAATAAATTCAGAAAAGTACAAAAGAGTGTACAGTGAAAGACAGGTCTCTTTCTCACTCTAGATTTCCAGATTTCCTTCCTTCCCAGAGACAGTTGCTGTTACCAGTTTCTTGTATATCCTTTTAGGAATATTCCTTGCGAAAAAAGAACATAGATATGTCATTGATATGGTTCGGCTCTGTGTCCCCACCCAAATCTCATCTCGAATTGTAATCCCCACGTGTTGAGGGAGGGACCTGGTAGGAGGTGACTGGATCATGGGGCAGTTTTCCCCATGCTGTTCTTACGGTAGTGAGAGAACTCTCACAAGAGCTGATGGTTTAAAAGGGTCAGTTTCCCCTGCGCTCCCTCTCTCCTGCCATCTTGTGAAGAAGGTGCTTGCTTTCCCTTTGTCATCTGCCATGATTCTAAGTTTCCTGAGGCCTCCCCAGCCATGCGGAACTGTGAGTCAATTAAATCTCTTTTCTTTATAAATTACCCAGTCTCAAGTAGTTCTTTATAGCAGTGTGAAAATGGACTAATACAGGAATGTAATGTCTATAATCTTATTTGGGACCTGGACCCTTTGAGAATTGATTGGAAGCTATGGGTACTTGTAAATGATACCAATAGGCCAGGCATGGCAGCTCACGCCTATAATCCCAGCGCTTTGGGAGGACAAGATGGGTGGATCACCGGAGTTCAGGAGTTTGAGACCAGCCTGACCAACACGGTGAAACTCCGCCTCTACTAAAAATACAAAAATTAGCTGGGTGTGGTGGTGCATGTCTATAGTCCCAGCTACTTGGGAGGCAGAGGCAGGAGAATCGTTGAACTCAGGAGGCAGAGATTGCAGTGAGCTGAGACCATACCCCTGCACTCCAGCCTGGGTGACAGAGCGAGACCCCATCTCAAAAAAAAAAAAAAGACACCAATAAAAAGATGTGGCATCCCATCTCACTGGGGATGTCAAATGTCATTCTCCCAAGCCTGAGACATTCTCTTAGTGTTTACACTGGGTTAAGATGTCTCTGACTGAGCCTGTGTATTCTGGGAAACACTGCGTGTCTGTAGCTCACTGTCTATCAGCAGAAGGTGTACCTAATTGGTAAGTTGTTTACTTAAAAAAATTTTTTTTTGTTAAAAATTATCATTATATAGCTAATACAAGTTTAGTGTTAAATGTTCAAATCATGCAAGAATATGTAAGCGTTAAGAAGTGAAAGTTCTTTATCTTGTCCTACCCTTCCAACCAATCCCATTCTCCATCTGTAATTACTGTTGGAGGTATCCTTAATTGAAATACATAATTTTGTGTGTGTGTGTGTTTGTATATGTGTGTGTGTGTATATATATATGTATGTGTGTGTATATATATATATATATACACACATACATATATGTGTGTATATAACATGAGAACATATTTAATCCAAATGAGATTACCCTATGCATACAGTTTAGTGGTTTTGTACTAATGTCTTTTGTACTAATGTCTGACAGATTTCATTATATAGAAAGTCTTTCAGAGGTATACAGTAAATCATCCATAGTGGTCTATTTGATGGATCACCCTTATATTACAGCAACTCTGCCTTCAAAAATTTAGGGCTCACACTCACTGTAATTATACCTTAACCCTGGTGCCTGGACTCAGATTCTGTGAGAGAGGGAGAGAGGGACAATATGAGGTTGAGAATGAATGCAGGAGAATGTGTGGGGAAGTGTGCATGATGGCCTGGAACAAGCTCAACATCTAAAGCAAGGGATCCACGTTTAAGAGCTAGCTCCGTACTTCCTGGCTATGTGATCTCTGTGTTTTCCTCTCCCCATTAAATTTTTTCCTTGTCATTGCTGTGGCTAGGCTGGTCCCTCCCTGGGCCCTACTC